AAAGTTCGGCACCGGAAGATTCAGAGATGGACTGGGAAGCCCAGGGAAGAAACAAAAAAAGAAAACGTAAATCAAAAACCAAAGACATCCTAGCAGAACTCGGAATATCATATAGTGAGTCTGAGAGAGAGAAAATTCTCGATATCATCGGTGTAAAACGAATAGATAATAAAAACGAGCCGTCAACTTAAAAAAAACGCAACAAAAAACTACAAATCAACACAAAGCAAAAAAAACCAACAAACCGCATAAAATTCAATATTCCGAAAGGATTATAGAATTAATAAATAAAACATTTAAAAACCTATTTTATATAAATACTGAAATTGAACTAACAAGAATAGAAATGGCCGAAAGATGGTCAAACGTTACAACCAATAAAGAAGATGTCATACTAAAAACATAAAAGGTTTTTTACTAAAATCAAACACTGACAAAAAAGAATTGGAAGAGAAATTAAACTCACTTATAACTAACAAAAATATAAAAAGTTTTAAAGAAACTACATCCACAATAATTAACAGCAACTCAAAACTTCCTGAACCCACCTATGCCGCAGTAATTTCATCAGTTGAAACATATATTAATGACGAATTAATAAGTGAGCATTTAAAACAAAATGACATCAATCACAGATTCTGCAAAAGGATTATTGCAAGAGCGACAAACAAAACAACAATGGTGTGCTACAGTAGCAACTTCCTTTGAAAAACTCATTATATACAAAAACAGACACTACCCCGCCCTCCAATACCCTGCTCAAAATGTGCAAAATACGATCACGTTACGGAAAAATGTCCCAATCAAACAAAATGCGACAAGTCTATGGAAAATCACCCCTCCGAAAAATGCGAAAAGAAACTGCCTCACAAATGTCTGGGATGCGGATCTGATGAACACAGAGCATGGTCAGTAAAATGCCCCAACCGCCCGAAAGGCGCAATAGAAGGTATTCCAAACACAAAAATTAAAACTCTCAATAAAACTTCAAGTAAAATAGACAAAAATATCACAAAAAAACAGAATTCACAGTCCCTTAACAATACACGATCATATAATTCATGCAACAAAATGCTAACATTACATATAATAGAAATTGGCACAAAATTCAAAAACATGGCAACCTTATCACGAACAAGGAAAGAGGAGGTAGTTTGATCTTGTCACATCCAGGCTTAAAAATGGGAAAAGCAAACTCCCCTAAAATAAACAACTTTTTAAATGAGGCAACACACTGCACTTTTCCACTTAACGACGAGCCACTACACATTTTCCTTATTTACATTCACCCGACTTCAAAAATAGAAGAGACAATATTTACCAAAGCTTCACTATATAAATATTCAATAATTATAGGAGACTTTAACCTCAACAACTCTAAAAGAAAACAGCTAAGAAATTTTCTAAGCCCAGCTCACGCCTGATATTGGTTCAGACAACCTAGCTTGCGTACTAAAAATTGACCTAAATTCACAAACAACAGAAAACTTAGAAACCAAGATTATATTCGAAAAATGCAACATTGAAGAAGTTAATAGAAATATAATAGAATTCATTGAAACAAATAATGATACTGTAACAAAACCATACATAACCAATTAATTGGTTATGTATGGTTTTGTTACAGTAAAATTTTAATAACAAATTAGCAGAAGTAATTTTAAAAAACACTCCAACCAAAGCAGTCAAGTTTTATCTCCAAGAACTACCGCCATTTATAATAAGAAATATTAAACTTAAGAGACAAATGTACAGATAATATCTGAAAAATCCAGATCCAAATTTCAAGATATAAACAAACTAAATAAAGATATACAAAAAATGGTCCATGAATACAGACTTAACAACTGGCTCAAAACTTGCAAAGAAATAAACAATAAAAGTGAAAAAAGCTTTTTTCAAGAACTAAAAAAACTGACAAAATATACAAAAAGATCAGGAGTACAACACATTGAAGAAGGGAATTCCTTTTATGACACTGATGAAAAAAAGCAAACGCATTCGCTGATTACTTCAAACAAATTTATGCTGCAAATAATAATGCAAATCATAATCAAACTCATATTATGAAGAGTGGTATGGAGAATTCCTAGAGGAAAATATGGAGGATGAAGAAACAGACATTGAAGAGGAATTGTATTACAATGTGCTACACAAAAACAAAAGCACTGCTCCAGGTAAGGACAAAATTACACAGAATATAGTAAAAAATTTAGATCACAAAATACACGAACACTATTGCTAAGTCCCGACCGTTACGCTTTAAATTATTAGTTTTTAAGGAATTAAAGAGTCAACCACGATACCATATTTGCCAAATAAAAACCTTGTTAAACAGCTTTAGTTTAGAACTATTTATAAAAATTTGACATTGGTAATATAATAGAACAATATTATTTTGTAAATAAAAACACGGCAACTGTAGTATCCGTTACGCGTGGAATGGCTTTTGCAAGAAAGATCACTGTTAGTAAAAGTTGGACAAAAAACCTCAAATGCATTTCCAGCAGAACAGGGAGTTCCACAAGGTTCCCCCCTTTTCCCTTTACTACACAATTTGTACTGCTCTGACATCGTCAGACTACCTACTATAGTAGGATATATGGATATCAAAAGTTACATTCTACAAATTGCAGATGATACTGCTATAATAACACATGAGAAAACAACAAAAAAAGCCACGCAAATTCTTCAAAAGAAACTAGTAAAAGTGGAAGAATGGTTTAACATCTGGAAACTTAAGATTAATCCTCTAAAATCTCAATTTATAATATTCAACCACACTCCCAAGCCCAACTCCCCTAGTCTGATTTTAAACAACACTCCAATACTCCCAACTAGACAACAAAATAAACCTGAAACAACACTCACAGATGACCAAGAAGAAAATACAAGCAAGAGCAAAACATTTCAGAGCACTGACCTACAAGGGAGATGGGATAAACATGGATGTAGCCTGCAAAATATATAAAACCATTTGCAGGCCCATTTTAGAATATGCCTGGCCAATTTACACAAATTCTCAAAAGTCTACAATAAGGAACATTCAAGTGGGAGAGACATCAGCACTTAGGATACTACTACCAGAATACGCCACCCCAACAACCCCCTACAGTGTAGGGCCTACACAATCCATCAAACATATTGTAGTACAGCTCCTATAGGAGAACAGGGATTGAACCAATCAAAGATAGACTTCAAAGCATAGAAAAAGGCTAACCACAAATTTCTGCCTAAAACAACACAACATAGAAACACTGGAAGAACACTACTTTACAAGACACCCAGAAGAACAGAAATTCAAACATCCCGAAAAGACATTACTTGAACTATTCAAATCCATTCTAACTTCTTTTTTTCCATTCTATACTAAAATTAAAAAGCATTACCATTGCCATTATTATTGTTTAATATCAATTTAAAATTAAGCACATTTGGCTGAAGGACCTCGGTCATTGGCCATTTAATCTTATGTTGTAACCTCACATTGTATGTATTTACATAAGGATTAATAAATACGTTATTTGTTTATTTATTTATTTACAGTGGATATAAAAAATGGAAAGTGAGTTTCTGTGTTTTAGAATATTTCCAGAATTACCTACAGAGTGAAACATTTAAAAAAATTCACACATATGTGTGAAGGTAACTTTTTAGAGCTGCCTTTCAAAAAAATTCTTGTGTTTTTATTAAAAAAAAAAATGAAAAAAATTAAAAATGAATTTATATTTTGAAAGACCGCCATTTAAAAAAAATAAAAAAATCATACTTATGGTCCAAACATTTGCCCACTCAAAAAATTAGGAAGTTATGATTTTTTTTCTTCCCGGAAGCGCGTTAAATCTCGCCACTGATCGACGAACATTTTCGACTTACCTGTCGGAACATGCCAAAAACACGACTAAAATTATTCTACACAAGTAATAATTATTGCCACATAAACCCCTGCAAGTTATTGATTATTTTTTTGGAATGGTAGCTTGAAACAAGGTATGTGTAATTTTTTTTTAATTTTCTGTTTAATTACGGAAATATAAAACAAAGAAATGTAAAATTAATATAAAAAGTTATAGAATTTTAGATTTTTTCACCATAGACCCTCAAAATTTGAAGCATATTGGAGACATGTTGATTTAAACAATGAAATTGTTAATAACAATATGAATTTCTTAATAATTTTTATTAAAAATATTTTGTTATCAAATTTCAGTCCTTTAGCTTTAAAATGAAAAAAAAAATATGTTTGTAGCTCAAATAGAACCGGAGTTATAAATTTTTGAAAATGGGTCTCCAAGCCAAAAAGCTTGTTTTTCTCAAATTTTTGATCACTTGTATTATCGAAAATATGCGAAAGAAAAAAAATTCCTCGGACACGTGTCTCTTACTTTTCGACATAGAATCCGTAAAAAAAGTTTCAGCCAAATCTGAAATGTGTCGGTCAAAAGGTGTTCGGTTTGTAAAAGAATTACCCATATGCGAAAGTTGCTTCTTTCAAAAATCGAACTTTATTGGATTACGTACAAATTTCGTAGAACTACAAAATTTGTGCATTTCCCACTATTTTACAATATTTGTAATATAAAACGCCAAGTACCAAGAATTTTAAATCAATCCTTTATGAGAATAACAATGATTAACCGTTGTTAATAATATAATTAATAAGTTTATTTTGATTTTTATTTAGGATTTTTTTTAACAAACGCTAAATTGTCAATTCTACAATTTAAATGCAATTTATCCATTAAAGCACTTTCACACCTACTTGCAACATCAAATCAAAATTGAATAATAAAAGAAAGTAAAAGTGGCATTGATAGTGATATATGACTTAAAATTAACCACTGGATTTATTTTTAGATTACACATTATCTTCAGGATCAGACGATTTATTACATGAAAGCCTTGGTACTAAAAATATGCATACATGCAAACCAAGGGATGAAAATCCAAACATAGAATTAATATAACAAATATAAAACAAAAAAGTATATTAGTACATTATAATTTATATAAATATTGTAAAGAAAAACTATGTTTAATACATGCAAAAAAATATTAATCTAAATTCAATTTAATGCTCTCCAAAAGCGTTTTAATAAGCAAGAGTTTGCAATATTTTCTGCAGATTTTGAAAATCCAATTCCAAATTTACTATTCCTGGTTTTTCAGTGGGTGGTAGTTGACTTTTGGGGATTTTCAAGAAACCTATATTAATTGGTTTGGATTCGTTTAAAGCCTAAAACATCAAACATGAACACAAATACAAATATCACTGAATATATAATTATTACTTTAGCCATTTCCTTGGTGGGGAATACGGTGAAATCAGTTTCAATTTTACCACCAAACTTCCTCTTAACACTTTCAGCTGCCACTTTGCTTTGGAAATCATCAGCTCTCTGTTTCAAGTTTAGGATTTTTTGTTGTTCTTCTACAAAATGTTTATGCCAAGCTGCTGGACCATTACCTGGTTTTAACTTGTAAATTGGTGGGAATGTAGGTTTGGCTAAAGCCAGTAATATTTCCTAAAAAATAAATTGTATAAAATTTTAAAATACAAAACAAGCTCTGAAACCTTCTTTTATACATAATTAAAATAAAAAATTGCAAAAACAATTGTCAAGATTTAATGGACCATTTATGTAATATTTGCAAAAACTAAATATTTTAAAAATAATAATCATTAATTTTAATAATTATAATAATTATTAACAAATTTTAAACTTTTATTTTTGAATTATTATCAGAGACTTGTTTTCTGTCCTAGTCTAAAAACGTTAAAATACTTAATAAAAGTGAAATTAAAATTTTACATTTTTTCAAAATAACCTCCAGGTTATTTACTATCAAAAGTTAAAAAGTTTTGTTTTCGTGATAATTATAAGTGTATACACTGTGCGACAAATTTTGACCTTACAATTTGAACTGGGATGAAATGTGGAAAAATCGAATCTATGCAACCCCCAAAACTAATCTTTAAAGGGGTTTTGCTAGTTTAGCTCGAATAATGGAGATATACAGGGTGTTTCTTTTAACTTGAGACAGCTCAATATCTCGAGAAATACGCATTTCACGGAAAAATGTCTTAAATAAAAGGTTAATGTGACCAAAGGGGACATTATTTGGTGCTACCGCTAGCCACTCCCTACCCCTCCTTAAGGGTGAAACGGGGGGTAACTTTGGAAAGTCAAATGGAATGACCCGATTTTTTTCACAGAGTTTGGTAGTACATAAAAAAATGAATAACTTTTATTATGTACTACTACTATTATAAGTTTTTTTCAATTTATCAACAGATGGCGCTGTAATTCAAAATTTAAGAAAAAAGGATTTCCTTGTAAAATGTATTATTTGAAACGTTTGAAAAACAAAAATTAACATTAAATCAACATTTGTTATAAATTGTTTTCATAGCCGACTATTGTTGTTAATGTTAATTTTTGTTTTTCAAACGTTTCAAATAATACATTTTACAAGGAAACTCATTTTTCTTAAATTTTGAATTACAGCGCCATCTGTTGATAAATTGAAAAAAGTTTTAAATAAAAGTTATCTATTTTTTTATGTACTACCAAACTCTGTGAAAAAAATCGGGTCATTTTATTTGACTTTCCAAAGTTACCCCCCGTTTCACCCTTAAGGAGGGGTAGGGGGTGGCTAGCGGTAGCACCAAATAATGTCCCCTTTAGTCACATTAACCTTTTATCTAAGACATTTTTCCGTGAAATGCGTATTTCTCGAGATATTGAGCTGTCTCAAGTTAAAAGAAACACCCTGTACATATATATATGTATATCTCCATTATTCGAGCTAAACTGGTAAAACCCCTTAAAGGATTTGTTTTGGGGGTTGCCTAGATTTGATTTTTTCAGATTTGTTCCCAGTTCATTTTTTGTGTTGCACAGTGTTATTTAGTAACCTATTTTTAATCAATTTTAGTTTGAAGGGTTGAACTTTTAGGGGATGTCTTTAAGATTTTATTTTAAAGCACCTTTATAGCTAAACAATATAGCTTTTGTTCCACTAAAATATCCTTAACGGTTTACTTTACTTTAAATATTTTTACCTGTTTAAGAGCAGCACCCTCTTTGAACAACTCATCAATGACCTCATCTTTGTTAGTCTTAAAACTAGGCAAAGGAGCCAAACTATCCAACTGTTTCTTGTAATGCTCATTTTGCAACTTGATCCTCTCGTTTTTTTCTTGGTGAAACAACTTCTTCAACGTGTTAATCTCCTGCATCAGCATGGGAGAATCTCTGACGACAGCAGGAAGTGTGGGACCGCCCAAAGAAGATTGCATCGAAGATGAGAGGGAGGATGCGGAAACGCTTTTGCTGATTGTAGCCTCCATCTGAGCTTTTTTGGAGAATAATTTGAGTTTTTCTTTCATCTCACCTTTTTCGCTTTCGAGGGAATCAATGTCGGTTTGAAGGTGATCCAAAGTTTCTTCAAACTCTTTTTCTTTCTTCTTGTAGTTGTTGTGCGCTTCTTCCAGTTTTCTTTGAAGCATTTCTATTTTTAGTTCGTAGTCTTTATTGACGTTTCCTAATTTTTTCTCTGCTAGTTCTTTGCGTATTGTCATTTGCGTTAGTTGTTCTTGTTTTTCTTTGACGATTTTCTTTAGCTCTTTTATGTCGGATTCTTTGTTCCCCAGTTTGCTTGTGAGTGTTTTGGTTTGCTCCAATTCTTTTTTGATAGATTCCGCTCTGACTTGTATTGGTGGAATAGTCTAAAACAATTTTTAAATTGATATACAGGGTGCACCAAGTATCCTTCTATGGGAATTTGTTTATAAGAAGAGCTACAAGGTCGGTTAAATTATAGAAAAAGTGGCGTGATTACAAGCCTATTAACATGAAATTTATAAATTGATTAAAAAAACAGCGGTTCTCAAAACATTAAAAAAAAAACTTTTAAAACCAAAAATCGTTATAACTTTCTTTTTCCAGGGAATTTTGAAAAAAAAGTTTTACATGTATACATGCACATTAATCTACATTTTTATCCAATTTCTTAACTACCATATTTTGAGTTACCACCACCATCTTTTGATTTTATAAGGACCGCCATAACTTTTATAGTTTGATACATCATTGGATTCCTTTATTTTTTCCATCTAAAATTCCGGAAAAAAACAAAAGATGGTGGTGGTGTCTTAAAATCCAATAGAAACTTTCTTTTTTTCAAAATACCCAGAAATAACGAAGTTATCACAACTTTTGGCTTTTTAGTTTTTTTTTAATATTTTGAGAACCGCTCCATTTTTTTCAATTTAATAATTTCATTTTAATAGGCTTTTAATAACGCAACTTTGCTCTAATTTAACCAACTTTGTAGCTCTTATAAAAAAGGATACCCAAATATAGATGTGCACCCTAAAGGTACTAAATACTAAATTAATCATATGGTTTTAAACCAGGTTTTCATTTACCAACTATTTACTATAAAATTTGATAAAAATTAAAATAAAAACCTCTACATTGTTAAAAAACAAATCCCTAATAACTATTAATATATAGATAAATCAATATATGGATAAATCAATATATGGATAAATCAATATAAGGACTCTCCAACAAAAGATAACAAACATGTATTTGAGTAACATTTTTTTTAAATTTTGAATAAAATAGATAAGTACCCTTTTTAAAATGTAGGGGCATTCCACGTTACTCGGTAATTTTTGTCCCGCCCGTCACAATTAAAAATTGTGAGTAAAAACCACAAGTTATTAAATCAATATTTTATAATATTATTTTTATCGTGCTTATAACAATATTTTAAAATAAATTTTATAACGTGTAGTTTTTACTCACAATTTTTAATTGTGACGGGCGGGACAAAAATCCCCGAGTAACGTGGAATGACCCTGTAAGTAGAAGTACATGAGTACCGTTGTGTGGCACAGCTTGTTTTTACTTTTATGTTTACAATTTATTCTTAAAAAATGTTTTCATTTGTCTTAAAATGACTTAAAAATTAAAAAAAAATTGTTCATCAAAGTTTTTAAATCTTTTTCATATAACCATCAAATTGCTTCTGATAAGATTTTGATTAAAAATTTTAAGCAAAATAATAATTTTTAAAATGTTTTTCATTACATACCTTCTCTTCATTTTTGTTGGCAGTACTAATTTCGTACTCATTATCTTGAAGGAATTGCGCTACTTGCGATATTTGAGTCAAAACAAAGCTCAAGGAATTTTTAATGCTCTGCACTGGCCCCAAGTCATCCTGTTCATAAACTTTATCGCTTGAATTTATAGCGATATCCTTTATTTTATCCTGGCTTAAGCCCTTTTCAGATTCTACAAATATTATATTATTATTTTTTGATCTAAAATAAATATAAAACTTACCTCCTCCAGCAGTAAGAGTTTGTATGGAACTCTTGACAACATCATGCAGGGTTCTCAATATTTTCCCTGAATGTTGGTAGGATTGATACAAATTCTCGAAAACCTCCTTATTCAAGCCAATATTAGCCAAGCCCATATCAGGCGGTAAGCGTCTCTTAACGAGCTTAAGTTGCTGGTGAAGCTGCTCTACGGTCGCAATAACATGCTGCGCAAGCAAACCAATGTCGCCAACATTGGATGTCTCGATTAAATTCCTAATAACTAAAGCATCCGTGTTAAAACCATCGGAGGCGCTCAACAAAGTTTTAACGTTGTCATTTAGGAGCAGTGTTTGGTTGACCTTAGTATCTGGTCCAAGTAAAACCGGAAATAAGGTGTTAAAGTAGCCCACGCATTTTTCTAGCGCTTCTGTTGGAACGTTTTCGTCGAGTTGATCGCGTTTAATAAGTTCCACGAATCCGTCGATTATTTTTTCTTGAGCTGCCATTTCTGGGTAAGATGATCCTACTTTAAGTAAAGCGTCGGTGTTGCAGGTGTTTAAAGCGTAGTCGTATTGATGTAAAATGGTCTTAAAAAATAAATAAATAATGTTAATTTAATTGGTTTATTAATTATTATTATTATAATAAAGTATTAATTTACCTGTAAGGCGTATATGTAGTAAGTTATGCGGCATCTAAAAGTAAACTGCTCTACATGGTGTCCTTTTAAAATAGCAGTTCTGTCGACTTTTTCGACAGCTGGAAATTTGTCTTTGATTTGACTAAGTAAAATATCGGTTTTATAAGTTAGACGAGGAATTAACAATAATAATAATACTGCATCATGATCTCCTACAAAAATTAAATATTTTTAATTAAAATACATTTGTTGAATCATATATTTGATTCATAATTCAAACATTAATGTTTAAATAGGTCAATGTTTCAATTGGTCCATAGGAAATTTGTGACGTCACATTGTGATCATTTCCTTGATGTTTGGAGGTTTTTGTCTTTCTTAAAGACCAAAAACAGCAAAATAGAAGTTTATGCGCTAAAGCGAAAATAATTACAATGTTAAAAACACAGCAGAACACTTTTTTGATGAATATTTGTTTAACAAATTCTAATAAAACTTTGCATCAATACAAATATACCTTTAAAATTATTCTTTATAGCAAGCAATCCCGATTAGGAAATGTATATTTTAATTTTTTTTGATCCAACAAAGTCAAAACAGGCCTTAAGATAAATTTTAATTGTAATGAGATCTTATCATTGTTTTATCAAAATTTAAACCACATTATTTTGGTGAGGAGAATTATTTAAAAAAACATTTTATTTTAACATTTTTATTTTTCTGCGTTGTTTATAGCAAAACAAAACTCCCCTTATTTTATAATTGCACTTACCTCCTCTATTCATAAACGAATCTGGCATATAAGAACTCAAATACTTAATATGCTGCTGAAGCTGCTGTATATCCACTCTTCTTAACTCCAAATCGATAGCCTTAGTATGAGCCTTAGTCTCAGAAAACATCTTCTTAAAGTCAATAATTTCCGGTAAAGCCGAAACCGGCTTGCTTGACTCCTTCTCCAAGCGTTGCTGCAAGTTCATCGATTGTTCCTGAAGCTGCTGAACCAGCTGCCTAAATTTTCCAATAGTATTCTCGCGATCCGCAATTGTTTCCAAAGCTGCATCCCTATCGCGATGCGCTTCCCTAGTTGCGGCTTGCGCCAGATCTAGCTCCTCGCGGAGATCAGCTTCGAGCTCTGCGTTGCTTTCCACCAGCTGATCGTTCATGTCTTGCAAAGCTTCGAGTTCCGCCACTTCTTCTTGAAGCTGAGTTACTTTTTCTTCCAGGGTAAGTTTTTGTTCTCCTAATAAGACGACCATTTCTTCAGCGCCCAAAGCAGCGTCGACTTGTTCCTGCAAATCCGCAATTTGCCGTTCCATATCCTCGACTCTAGCGCTGAGTTTTTCCTTGGTTTTGCCCAGTTCGGTGATTTCAGATTTTTTCTGATCGATGTCTTTTAATAGTTTTTGATACTCGTGTTTGTCATGAGCCGAAAGATCTCTAAGACGTACCAAAGTTTCGCGAAGCCTCGCATTTTGCTGTTGCAATTGTTTTATCTCAAATGGGTTCAAGGATTCTTCGTTTGAGGCTGCTACAGCTCCTCCAGCTGTTGTAAATAAAATGCTGTTTATTACAAAAATGTAGTATATACAGTGTGGCCCATTTAAGATGGAAACACCCCCGTAACTTTTTTATTTGTTACTCGATTTTAATGAACAAACAAAAGCTCAAAAGATATAAAAATAAAAATCTCTATCTAAGCTATAAAAAAATAATTTCAATGTCACTTGACAGATGCCTGCTATACTATTTTTTCTATGTCAAAATTCGGAAAAAAATATTAGGGTGTTTAAAAAAAAATAAGTACCTACACCACTGAATAGCTTAGATAGAGTTTTTTATTCTCTATCTTTTGAGCTTTTGTTCATTAAAATCGAGTAACAAATAAAAAAGTTATGGGGGTGTTTCCACCTTAAATGGGCCACACTGTATTTATATACTGCCCGTCAAAATTAACGCTTAATAAGTAAAAAATTTTAACTCTAAAACTCCCCTTTTTAATTATTTTGCTGAAAATTGGTCATTTTTACCGACTTTAAAGCACTGTATACTAACAAAAATACGGTCTTTAACAGCATATATTTTATTTACTTAAAAAAAAATTCCCTAAAAGTTATCTTTCAAACGTTTTTTTATTATTAAATATTTTCTCGAAAAACCCTCGAACACGTAAACTGAGATATAAGTTGAAGTATTTTTAAACAAAATTTCATAAAGATTAGTAAAGGCGTTAATTTTGACGCGCAGTGTATTTTTAAATGTTCTGAAGTGGTTCAGTTTAAACAAAACTCTTTAATATAAAGTAAAATTATTTACCTTTTCCTTGCATTTCAGTTTTCAGTATCTCCAAATCCAATGTAACCTCCTCCAAACGTTCCTTGCAAACTTCCAACTCCAACTGGAGAGTCTCCGCCTTCTCCTCGGCCATCTCTTTATCCAACGTTGCCATTTCCACGGCTTCCGCCAAATCGGCAACCTCGTCGGCATGTTGCTCTTTAGCTTCCACAGCCTCCTTGGCTTCTTGCTTGGCGCGCTGCAATTCTCTTTGCAAGCTCGCTTGAGCTTCCATGATTTTAGATTTGAATTCAATCATTTGTTCTAACTAAAAAAAGAAAAAATTATTTAGGTTTTTAATTTTATTTATTATTTATTTAAAGAAATAAAACCTAATTTTAAGAAATGTGCCACTGCGGTGCCAAGCACAAATATATAACGTTTATCGAAAAGGAACCAAGCGCCAACTTTTTTGGGGTAAACAAAATTATTTGCAAAATAACTCATTTTTAATGCTGCTCAAAAAATTAATAATGATATGGGAACCCTCTCAATCCTTTTGAGAAAAGTTCCAAATAATGATCAACCTTTTGAGCATTCTTAAAAATGACTTATTTTACAAATAATTTACTAAGCCCAGAAAAACTTTTTGGCGATTGGTTGCTTTTCAATAAGCCTTATCCAAATGAGGTAATAAATGGTAAAAGAGTAGTTACCACCCTTTTGCTTAGCAAGGCAGTGGCATTTGGACGCTTTTGAATGGCCACGCTTCAATAAGTTTTCTGCAAAGAAAGCTTATATTTATTTTTTATTTTGATTGAAAAGAAACCTTGGATTTAAAAACGTTGTTTATCTTACTTGTATCTTAAGCTTGTCATAATCCTTAAGCCTCTCCTTGTCCTCCTGCCTTTTTATTTTCAAAGATTCCAATTTTTCGCCCAAATCCCTAATTTGCTGCTGGCGGTTCTCAATTTCTTGTTGAAGCTGCAAGTGATTAATTTTATCTTCTACCGAAGTTATAGGAGTTGGCGTTGTTGTTATAGAATGTCCCGGAGTAAATTGTGGCTTCAAAGTCTCCACAAAACCAGTCTAAAACCAAAATTTAAGTACAAATTACCAACTTTTCATTTAGTATAAAACACTTACTTCCACGAAAGATGCTCTTTTGGGTATTTGGCTGACATGCTCTGAACCACCTTCAGGCTTGTCCGTAGCTGGAGACGCCAATTGGGTTCTACTTCCGCTGAGGGACTGTCTACTTCCGGTTAAGGATTGGCGACTTCCGGCGAGCGATTGCCGACTGCTAGCGAGCGACATTCTCGAACTGTTACGGAAGTAAACGATCGTCATAAAATGCTTTTAAGTTAATAGTTAGTTTAGAGAAATATGTTGTGAGAAATAAAAATAAAAATTATTTATTAAAAAGATTTTTTATACCTCTTGTGTTATGTTTATTGGAAATGTTTAAGTACGTTTTAGTATTTAGCGTACATTTAGTAGGCTATACATAATTTATTTTTACTAGCTTAATAACTTACCTTTAATAATGGAAATTATTTGTTTTTGTTATATGGATGATTTACATAAATTTAAAATTAACAATACACGGTGCTGTTCTGAGAGGTGATTTTTGGACTTTCTGTGAAACCTATTTTTTTTTATATTCTTGTTAATTAGGTCATAACTAAAATTTTAAGAGCAAAATAAAAAAAATTTGACGGTTTGAATTGTTTTAATTGGCTGTTTATTAAAAATATTATGCACTCTTTCAATTATCCAATTAAAACTAGCGATTTAATTTAAATATTTAATATTTGCATAACAAAAAAAAGGTTTTTACAATTTTTTTTATATATTTTACTGTTTTGTTGCAATAAACGTTCAAACTTTTAATCTAACCTTTGACATATACATTTATGTTCCCTTAATTAATATATCCTTAAAGGTTGCCATGAAACTTAGATCTATTAAAAATTTATTTGACGTTTGAATTGTCATTTTTAGTATACGTATTCTATAATTTTTGTTTAGTTTTTTAAAGTGTTTTTTAAAACAAAAATGAAAAATTGTAGTAAAAGTTACGAAGAAATTCATGAAATTTAACTAAGGACCGGTTTATTCATCTTTAGTAAAGTTTATCGGGCCGATAACTTTCATGTCTTGGCAATATCTAGTATCCAAAGAAATTATTCGTCAAATAAATCAAAAATGAATAAATCGGCCCTAAATAAAATGTGGCACCCTTAGAATTATTGTTTAATAAATGTATACTATACATTTAACCTTAAATTAAAACTTTAAACGTGTATTACAACAAAACAGTAAAAGATATAAAAAATGTATGGACCTTTTTTTAGGAAATTAACTAATCTTTAATCTGATTTAAAAAGTTATGATAATATTTAAATAAAATAAAAGTTTTAATTGGAGAATTGAAAGTGTGCATACATATTTTTAATAAACATCCAATTAAAACAAAATTAACCGTCAATTTTTTTTTATTTTGCCCTTAAAATTTTAGTTATGACCTAATTAACAAGAATATAAAAAAAATTAGGTTTCACAGAAAGTCCAAAAATCACCTCTCAGAACAGCACCGTGAATATATGCAGAACGGTCGAAAACCAATTCAAGTGAAAAAAGGGTCTAAAGTGTAAGGTTATTTAAACTCTTTATTTAATTATAAAATAGTATTAAGTATTTGCTCAAATTAATTAATCGGGAAAATTGAATAGTCGATATAACTCGTAAAAATAAGAAGAAAAGTTTATATGAACTTGTATGCTTTAAAGCTTGATTTTTGAGATACAGGGTGTTTAAGTTAATAAAAAAACATGCTCAAGCCACTGCTTTTTATGAGTTTAATATTAATAGATTAAGCAAAAAAAAAATTTGTTTATCCGCTCCTGAATTTTTCCAAGGGCAAATTTTAAACAAGATAGAGAAAAAATGCAGGAGACAAAATTTCTATTTTTAATTGCTTAATCTAAAAATGTATAATATTAAACTTTAAAAGCAGTAGCCTACCCAAATTTTGTTTTTAAATATCTATTTGGGATGCCCCAGCGCCGCCTCTGGATTAATTAAATTAAATTTAATTACATTTAATTAAGCCCTTTGCCCAATACTAAAAACTTTTATTTTTTTGGCCGACGAGCTTTTGACATTTTTTTTATAACTTTATCTATCTCGAAAACAAAGCTCATATAAGTTCATATAAACTTTTCTACTTTTAAATCTAAGACAGGGGTGGTCGACTTTTTTTTTAATTTTAAAGCTTTAAGGCTAGAGCGTAGATTTTTAAATTTTAAAGTTAGGGGTTCTCCCGATCCCTAAATTTTAACAGTTTCACTTTTTGAAATTTTTAAAATGGCTACTGCACAATAGTATTCTTTCAATCCCTAGAATATCCACAACTTTTTTTTCCGATTTAAAAAAATATCTTAGGCCCTTAAAGGTTTGTATTTTATAAACTATTATGATTTTTGCAGGTCTTTGCTTTTTTAAGGCAGTATTACCTGAAAAAAACCGTTCGTTTGTCCAGTTCGGTGTTCGTTATTTTTAAATTTAGAATCCAAAAAACTTTATTTTAACTAGCAAATGTGCCAAGTAACTTGGCCCAAGTGTAATGCAAACTGATAATTTTTTTGATGAGTTCTATTTGGCTGAAACCTCAGCTTTAACAATTTTTTTCCTTTATGAATAATATTTGGGACTGGAAAGAGGCTTGCTGTTTTAACAGTAACATAATTTATTAAAATAAAATTAAAAACAGATACTGATTGTTTGTCATATTACAATAAAGTTAAAATATGAATGGGCAAAAGATAAGTTGGACACAAGGTTTATTATTTTCTACAAATAAATAGGAAACTTGTTTAGTTTTTTATTTTATTTTGTTTTCAATATTTTATATTTAAAATATGTGTTTTGGTCCGGGGGTATGTCCGTTATTATTAAAGAAAATATTTCAACTCTAAAAATATCCAATGGGTATTGTGCCCGCACTAGTCGCAACCAAAATTAGAAAAAAAGTTTTTGTTGGCCACCCCTACCTTGTATATCAGATATTTTAATATTTAATTCATAAATGATTTTATGTTCAGAAAAATAATTGATAATATTAAATGTTAAATTTTAACAAACTGCCGATTAGCATTAGAAATACAATTTTTATAATATGATGGTAAATAAAGAGTTGATATATATATCGTCGATATAAATCGGCGTGATAAATATTCAGAACCCTGATTCAAATCCACATTTTGACTTATATAGGGTATCCCAAAAATCCCAACCTTAGCTGCTTTATTTGACTTGTTTTCATAATGACAAAATTTAAATTTATATTATTATATATTTATGGGTAAGTATATAATATACAAACAGATTTATTAAGTTTTTAAACTTGCTTGATAATAATTATCGGGACACCCTGTATAAAAATAATAACATATAGATTAGACTGGGCCAAAAAAATCAATTATTTTTTTTTAAAAGTATATCGAAAATATGGTTTGAGGCGAAAAAAAAAATTAAGTCAAAACGAAATTCTTGTCAAATTTAACCTTGAATAACTTTTGATGTAAAGCATTTGATTTCACATAAGAATATTTATCGGTTTTTTTATAGGTAGGGTCATTCCATGTCAACTCAACACACCCATTTTACCACACCACCTCAGATTTTCTTAAAATTTGATATACTTATACCTACTACGTACTAAGACTAAGAAAAATACCAATTTTTAAATTTTTATCTCACACCGTTTCCGATATATGGCTATGTAAAGTTTTTAAAAACTCGCGAAAAAAGTGTGAACGTGTATTTTTTAAATTGCTCTGGAAGCTGTCCTAATTCAGCTAGAACGCTGGGAGAGGTGTCATTTTGCAGCATTTTAAATGCTCTTTCAAATTAAAAACTCGCGAAAAAAGTGTGAACGTTTATTTTTTAAATTGCGCTGGAAGCTGTCCTAATTTAGTTAGAAAGCTGGGAGAGGTGTCATTTTGCAGCATTTTAAATGCTCTTTTAAATGACATACGACTGCCAAGGGTATTAATGAAAAGATTTTGTTCAAAATTCATATATATATTTTGATTCAATTTTTTTTTCAAAAAGTACATAATTTAAAATTCTCAAAATATTTGTATAAATACTTAGTACTGTTTTAAACCATATAGTAAAATATAAATGTGGGGTCTTAATGGGTTCATGTTAAAAAAAAATATTTGTGATGCTGGTTTTTCACTTAACTAATTTTGACAGTTTCGTTACATCTTTCCTGCAGGTATGACAAATCATGGAGCCAATAGGCATTTGTGGAAATAATCCAGTCATCCATGCTGGGACTTTTCTCAGTTTTTTTCTGTCTCTAATAAAATGATTTGTTTTTTTCATTGGATTATAACACTGCACTATTACAATAGTAGGCTCCATGTTGACACCAAAATCACTTTAAACACACCTCATTTATAGTTTTATTTTTAAATAAACTACGAATATATACAGGGTCCGATAAAAGTTCCCTGAATTTTTTTTTAAGCGAGTTTAAAATTTATCAATAAGGTTTTCGCGGAAATTGTTTGCTCGAGCAGGTTCCTAGAACCCTTTCAATTTTGAAAATATTCATTTTATGTTGTTCTGTTTAAAATTTGTTCAATATGAATCGTCAAAAAAAGCGTATCACAGTAATTGAATTAAAAAAGTCGGGAATGTAGGCAGCCGATATTATTAGGGTTCTTAGAACCCTTATATTTTTGAAAATATTCATTTTATGTTGTTTTGTTTAAAATTTAGTTCAATATGAATCGCCAAAACAAGCGTATCACAGTAATTAAATTACACAAGTCGGGAATGATGACAGCCGATATTATAAAAAAAAATACAATTGTCAGGCTTAAGCCTGATAAACGTTGAATAATGTCAAAATTAGTTAAAAGTGAAAAACCAGCATCAGAAATATTTTTTTTAACAATGAACCCATTAAGACCCCACATTAATATTTTATTATATGATTCAGAACACTGCCAAGTATTTATACAAATATTTTGAGAATTTTAAATTATGTACTTTAAAAAAAAAAATTAAATCAAAATATATATATGGATTTTGAACAAAATCTTTTCATTAATACCCTTGGCAGTCGTATGTCATTTAAAAGAGCATTTAAAATGCTGCAAAATGACACCTCTCCCAGCTTTCTAACTAAATTAGGACAGCTTCCAGCGCAATTTAAAAAATAAACGTTCACACTTTTTTCGCGAGTTTTTAAAAACTTTACATAGCCATATATCGGAAACGGTGTGAGATAAAAATTTAAAAATTGGTATTTTTCTTAGTCTTAGTACATAGTATAAGTATACCAAATTTTAGGAAAATCTGAAATGGTGAGGAAAAATTTCTTTTTAAAGTGTGTTGATTTGGCATGGAATGGCTCGGTACTGATTTTTACATGAATTTTAAAATTCCAAAGTTAAAAGATCAAAATGTAAAACTATACCAATGTTTAGGGCATGATTTTAAGGAAACGGTTCATCTGACGAAAAATTTCATTTAACCTTTTTTGTAGAGCATTTAATTTTCTTAAAAAAATATTTTTAAGTAAATTTTGTTAAAATCAATGGTTTGGGAGTACTGAGACAAAAACTTGATGAGGAAAAAAAAAATTAAAATTGCGATGATAGACCTCTTAATATTAATATTATGGACTCAAACTTTGTTTGTTTTGTCGCCCCAAACCATATTTTCGATATACTTAAAAAAAAAAATAGTTTTTTGGCCAAGTCTTATATAGATAATAGATATATAAAAATGGATAATTATCAAGATGGGATGTGGATTTGAAAAATTCTGGAATAAAAAATAAATACCACAATGTATAAAACTTATTCCTGTAATAAGGCCCTGTTAGATATATATAAATAAATTAATTAAATGCAATTAAGTAAACCTAATACGTTTTTTTAAATAAATTTAAAACAAAAAACATCACAACATAGATAGTTCCATTTAATTATATTATAAATATACCTTGAAGCAGATAGAGATGGAGGTCTTTTTTGTGGAGATGTCTTACGTCTCACTCTAACCATTGAGCAGCATTAGAAATAATTAATTAATACAAAAAGTAATTACACACCCAACATGAATGTTAAAATTTAGACAAAATACAGTACATATAAGCAACAATTTTAATTGTTATTACTTGCATAAGAAATACTTTTTATTAATAATACCCAATATCATAATGTCAATATGAGACTTACGTTGTTGGTTTTGGCTTTGTTCCTGAACTGTTGAATGAAAATAAATGGCACAATGAATTATTCTAGTTTTCTAAGAACCATTTAAGTTATAACAAAAATAAATTAAGATACCTACATGCTTTGTCGACTTCTAGCAATTTTGGAGGCTGGTGGATCCTCAGGAGGTGCCATTTGCATTGGTTTTCCATTTTCATCTAAAGCAACCACTTGGGTTGTCCTTACAAACATACCATAGTTTTCTTCACACTAAAATAACGTTTTTATTATTGGAATACAGTGCTCCAAATACTTTTGGATGACAAAAAATAAATACGCAAAAAGTGAACCATGTAATGCTTACTCACATTAAAATATGATGTTCCCTTAATTGTGCCATTATTTTTACCCTTTGCTTCGTCCAAAATAAGCCCTATCCATTTACCAGGGGCAAAAGTAGTGGTCCCCACAAACGCAATAACACCCTGTACACCTTTACCACTGACATCAACTCTCCTGCCTACTTTTAAATAATCCGACATTGTAATTTCCTAGTTTTAGTAATAAATTGTATGAGCAACAAAAAATAAACACTTATTTTTTTATAGTAACATTAAAATCACATTGTTTGACAAATACTATATTATAACCGTAACTTGACGTTTATATGTCAAAAGTGACATCATTACGTGAAGCTAGTCAAATTAAGTTGGCAACGTCTATAGCTATCTTTATAGTAGATGATCGTAGGTCAAATGTACCAATACCATGGACATAACAAATACAAATGTAAATGCAATGTAAAGTGATTGATTAGGGCATAGGCACATAATAAATCATTATAGGTTAGTAACTATTGTTTGTTATACCTAATTAGATCATAAAACAAATATGAATTAGATAGACAGATACATTCAAAGATAATACATAATATATTATATCTTTGGATACATTTATTAAGTACAATGGCAGACACGGAATTTCGAACATTAAATTTCTGTCAATTTTTTTTTAATTTAAAAGTTAAACGCCTACATTTTTGTGCAATTATTAGGTATAAGGAGTAATAAATAAACGATGTGCATTGATATTTCAATACGAAATTTAAAAAAAACGGTAATATTATTAATAATAAGATTAGTGAGAATTACTAAGAAATACAAATTAAAACGTACCAAAGAAAAGTCGCTATAACTACGTAACAGTTCAGTTTTGGACCCATGGTTTCGTCTTATATACTTATAGTATATAGTATAAATTATAATGTATAATACGCCCTAAAATATTTACCTTTTTTAACACCCTGTATATGAGTATAACATGTTGTATAAATTTAACTGTATAATACGCCCTAAAATATTTACCTTTTTTTAACACCCTGTATATGGGTATAACATGTTGTCTACATTTTGGATGTCTATGAGTGCGGTAATAAACTCCCATCTCTTTCCACAGAGGGCGAGAAAACAATCATAAACAATTGAAAAGTGGTGGGGAAAGTTAGTGTATCTGAAATCATGGCGTCTTATGTTTTTTTTAATTTAAAAGTTAAACGCCTACATTTTTGTGCAATTATTAGGTATAAGGAGTAATAAATAAACGATGTGCATTGATATTTCAATACGAAATTTAAAAAAAACGGTAATATTATTAATAATAAGATTAGTGAGAATTACTAAGAAATACAAATTAAAACGTACCAAAGAAAAGTCGCTATAACTACGTAACAGTTCAGTTTTGGACCCATGGTTTCGTCTTATATACTTATAGTATATAGTATAAATTATAATGTATAATACGCCCTAAAATATTTACCTTTTTTAACACCCTGTATATGAGTATAACATGTTGTATAAATTATACTGTATAATACGCCCTAAAATATTTACCTTTTTTTAACACCCTGTATATGGGTATAACATGTTGTCTACATTTTGGATGTCTATGAGTGCGGTAATAAACTCCCATCTCTTTCCACAGAGGGCGAGAAAACAATCATAAACAATTGAAAAGTGGTGGGGAAAGTTAGTGTATCTGAAATCATGGCGTCTTATGTTTTTGTTTGGAAGTATTTTTTGTGTTTTCAGTGATTTTTAGTGAATAAATAGTTAAAATGAGTGCCTGGGAAAACGTGGAAGAACAATATAGTTATGGGATAGGTTAGTTGAAATATTTGACGTCAATTTATTTTAAGTAATAATAATGCTACTTGTTGATTTTATCTCCTGCATGGTTTGTACTAAAATAAATAAAGGGAAAATGATAATATTTTAAATTAGAGCTAAGCTAAAATTACTGTTGGCGAATGGTTTGGTGTTTTGAGGGGGTTATATTAAAGGGTTGTTTAAAACATATTGCCCCTCCCACTTTTTATCTAGTATTTTGACCACTTCCCAAGTCAATAACTTAAAACTCATGATTCACGGAGTATTTTAAGTGAGTTTAATCGAATAGAAAATTTGTATTAATTCCTGAATCATTCCAATCACATTCGTCAACAAGTGTCGAGTTTAAATGCACGGCAATGATGTAATAATTTCAGTAAAACCTTGGTGCAAACAATTCTCATTCAGGTTAATTAATTATTAAAACAAATTCAACTGTTCAAATGAATATCAAATGTATTATCCACCTGTTTTGAGAAATATTTGATAGTCATTTAAACTAGACCTATGTAGGTAGTTCACCTGTAACATTATTTAATTTTATAAAACCATATCTAGATTGTATTAAATAATATACAATGATATACAAAGTGTACAAAATAATACTAGGAAAATACCGACTAGAGAGAAAATTGTAAATAATTATTTTTGAAACATTTTGTGAAAAAATTAACGTAGGTACCTACCTAAGCAAGAATAATTGGGGGGAGTTTTAAGTATAAACAAATTCCAAAGAGTACCTAAAGTCTATTCAAATCCAAGCTGGACTAAATGTAAACACAATCCTCCGAATCGACCAATAAGAACTCACAATCCGAGTCACACCATCAGAATCGACCAATAAGAACGAGTTATCATGCGTCTGGACGTTTTTGTTTAGTCCAGCTTGGATTTGAATACACTTTAGTTTTTAAGTTATGAAGCATTTGAGTTTAAAAAACTTGTCATTGCTGTAAATAATAATATAAACAAGGCTGAATGTGAACATTACTATATTTTTTAACACTGCTGTGAAAATTTTGACAGGTTTTTCTTGACATATCGCATAACCTATCATTCTGCATTAAGTAATTGCCATAGATAATAAATCATAATGGTAATTGCTAATGTCAGTCATTTTGCCGGTTATTGCGACAAATTTACACTAATAAAGAGATATTTTAAGTCCAGAAAATAACGCAATAATGTCCTGACACCCGGTATAGGTAAATATTCTCAAAACAAAAACAATATTCAATTTTTAAACCTCTATAACTTTTTTATAAATTTTTTTTATTCCTTAAATAACAAATCCCACAGCGTGGTAAACCGTTCGTACGTCATTTTCGGGACCCTCTGTATAAATGCATAGAAAACAACTTTCTTATGACGTAAATTGTAAAAAAAAAGTTACATCTAAAATTAAGCTTGTTTCTGCTTTAAAAAATACTGAAGTCTTTAATACCTACCTACAAGATTTTAATGGTGTTATTTTTTTGAAGACAGGAAAATTACAAAATTACCTAGGTATTTATAAACATTATGCATTTTATTATAAAACATGTTAACTAATTTTGTAAACACATTTAAAAAAATTTACGAGACATTTTATAAATTGTTATTAAAAAACAAAACGTGTTGGTATTGCTTTCTTCTTTAAGAATTTAAACTTTAAATTATTTTGTAATGTTCTTGTTATGAAGATTAACTACACAAAATCAATTAGCTAAACGATTCAAATCAACGTAATGTTTGCTATTTTAGTGAAATATTTATTTTTACTTGAGATACCAACCCAATACTTTATTTTATAGCAGCCAATTTGGGCTAAAAATAGGGACCATATGTACTTGCACTTGAATGTTTTATTTGGACCTTTTTCCCGTCTAGGGTATTATTAATATTATTATTAAGCATGTATTGCCTGTTGGGTTGTATTTTATAAAATAGTATAAATACTAATTACGTTTTATGACAAACAATTATTAACAAAATCGTAAAATAGTATATTAAAGAACTAATGTCATAAGACGTCATTTTGTCGCACGCGGACAATTTATTTATTATTTTTGTAATGGACGAGTGCAACAAAAGGTCTTATGACATGAGTTCTTTATGCTCGAGTTTATGCTATTTTATCTATTTTGCAAAAATTTTATAAAAAAATTAATTTTATACCTTAAATTTAATTTGGTCGAATTTTACTTTAGATAGTCTTTGGTTTGACAGTTAATGTCAAAATCGATTCGCCATGCCGTCCTTAATTTACTTATTTACAATAAAAAAAGGATTTTCTTTGGTGTTAAACAAAATTTATTTCCAGAAAGTTTGTAAGTACTAAAAAAATCATAAAAATATTATAACCAATATGCAAAATATTATGCTGTTTAAAGTATAGCCAACCTATAAAATCAAAATTTTGGGTGAGATAAAGTATCTCATTACAGCACCGAAAGCGGTGTTATAATGAAGTCATTATGAACGCAAAATAGATAAACCAGTTTTTTAATGCTTTCTTTTTAATTTTAAAATTATTATGTAGGTATTTTTACGATTTAGTGGCAATAACAATTTTCTGATAGGAACAAATGTTTGTAAAATTTATTTAAATCAAGGTTAAAGGTAATTTACCTTTAATTAAGTGTCCCCTTTGCATAAACAACCCATTAAAAATATTAACAAGGATGTTAAATTCAAAGTGCAAAATTATTAATACCGGTTTTGGCAAATTAACTATTTAGGGCAGTTTTCAATTATCCAATTATTTCCCAAGTTAGCTTTTTTCACTCGGGTATCATCTAAATTTTTTATTTACAGTCGAAAATGGCGCACGCGATAGGGGAGGTTTTTTTAAGTTTTAAAAAATACTAAAATTTCTGATAAGTACCTACTTTTTGAGTACCTATTAAGAATTTAAGATTAAAAACCCCGGCAAGTATTTCTCAAGCCGATAGTTAACATGTTTGACAAATGGCTTTTCTGACAGTTTGTGTCAAATATTAAAATTAAAAGACACAGCCATCTATTTATTTTAATCAATATCTGTTTAACCAGTTCCTAAATAAACAAAAATCTTTTATTAGGAATTATATCATTAATAATTAAACTATAATTAAATTATGCATGAAACTGTTCACAGTTTGGTTCACACTTTCCAACATTCCCAACTCTCTTTCATTGTCCTAAGATCCTTCTCAACGAGATGGTTCTGTGTGAACTCGTGTGTTAAGTTGAGAACGCTATTCTTTTTATTAAAATTTAATCCAGTTTCTCAATATTTGGACGCATACATCTAAAACATCAACTGCGTTGTGAAATGAAAAGTGTCAACAAAATGTTGCAATGGTTTTGTCTACTCCAAAAAGTTGTGTGGTCGTCAAAAAACATCATCATAATCATCATAACTTTGTTAATATTATTAAATAAGTCTCGATTTTCGGTTGTTTTATATAAATAAATGGCCCTAAAACATTAAAATAACAAAAATTAAATTCATTTTAAAAAAACTCGAAAACCGAGTCGAAAACTAAGTAAGTACTAAATTTTTTTTTCCTAATAATCAATTTATATATAAGGGTTATAAAATGAAACATTTTAAGGATGGTGAAATATAAAGTTTTTATATTAAAACACTAGGTCGCCCCCTTTAACTTTTTTATTTTAAGTGTCCCAAAAAATTTAAAAGTTTGATTATGTAGGAACTAAAAAAAACTTTTTTTCTACCTATAAAGAAAATTGGAAAATTGATCAGTATATAGGGAAAAACAAAAAGTTTATTTTTTTTCAATGGATCACCCTATATATGAATTTATTTTTCGATTCCTTGTAAAATTCTGAGCATAATTCATATAACAAATCATATACCTAAATTCAACTGTTTCTGAAATATTCGCATTCGAAACTCGATTCGAAATGTTATCATTAAATGTTTTTTTTAAACTGTTAGAAATCAAGAAGCCTCAGTATACCAAAATTTTTATTGAAAATAAATTACTATAGTGACATTATGTCAATATGTCTTGTTAAATAAGTAAAAATGACGTACTCAGACAGAGAAAGACAAATTATTTCAACTTATTATCTTAAAAATAATTTAAATATTTCAGAAACGGTTGAATTTAGGTATACCCTCGGGTATACCCATATATATATATGGTATGTTATATGAAATATGCTTAGAATTTTACAAGGAATCGAAAAATAAATACATATATAGGGTGATCCATTGAAAAAAAATAACCTTTTTGTTTTTCCCTGTATACTGATCAATTTTCCAATTTTCTTTATACGTAGAAAAAAAGTATTTTTTAGTACCTACATAACCAAACTTTTAAATTTTTTGGGACACTTAAAATAAAAAAGTTAAAGGGGGCGACATTATAGGGGATCACCCTGTACATTAAAAAACATTTTTAAAAACGTTAATAACTCTAAAACTAATCCTTAAAAAATATTGTTTTTCTTTACAATATTGCGTTTTGCAACGCCAAAATCATCATCGTGTTATCTTTAAATCTATTAAATGTACTAAACAAAAATTCGCAATACATTTGCTCACGTGTGTGTAATTGAGTTGTGTGTGCAACAAAGCGAATACAAGAACGACTCGTTTTAATTTTCGTTTCTGTCGGTAAACGACAATACACGTGATGTCACACTTCCTTTTAGTTTGCCTTGTTCATCAACCTTTGCAGAAAAGATAAAAGGAAATAGAAATCATTTACCAGCACTGCCTGTGGACATTTATTTTTAGTATTTCCTATCAATTTAAAATACAAGCTAATGGAATTAACTTTGTAAAAATGATATATATAGGTATACTCTGTAAGAAACAAAATAGTTTTAAAATAACTTTGCAAATAAAATTTGCATGTTAATATGTATCATTATAAGCGGGGAAGCGAGTTAATTTAGATGTTTAAAATAAAAACAAGAAAAGGCGCATTATCATTTTTCGTGTAATAATGTTGCAACGGTTACGGTTACGGTTACGGTTAATTCACGGTTTTCGATAT